GAAAAATTCAGTCGCGGCTCGCCAAGTAGATATATTCCATACTAGCTACCAACTGTAGGTACCCGTACCAAGTACCAATCATCCAATGTACCATTAATATAAAATTAGGCATTATATTAGAATTTAGGTGTTGTTAAAATTTACTAGGTAGCACCGTAGCAGTGAGCCAGTGACGCTTTCAGAATTTTAATTCAAAACCTTGTAACGTGGCTGCTTGTATAAAAGTAGCTAATTAAATATCATAATTCGATAGATAGGAAATAATACCTATTGATAGATCCTAAATAATACCTATTGATGATTTTCATAATCATAAATATGATCCAAAATCATTGATCAGTTATCAATATAAAAAACATTAGGGTAAATGCGGCATATTCCGACACATTTAAGGACGTAGTAAAAAATGAATGGCTATAAAAAAATCACCGTAGGGTAAACGCGGTATATTCCGACACATTAAGGAGGCATCGAGAAATGAAAAACTATATAAAAAAAACCGTATGAGTTACGTAAGTTCTGTTGCCTTCATGTGACTCTCAAAACACTTCACTACGCGTCAGCAACGATGAAACGTCACAAAATGTTGCCATATTTATTAAAAAGCCTTTAGAATGGAAACCTACCAAATCCCTATATTCCGTCACTGTGTGTGGCAACTGTCTCTTATACACATCTAGATGTGTATAAGAGACAGAAATTTAACTGATACGTNCACTATTTGGTAGAGCAAGGTCAACTATCAACTTTGACACGTTTTTCGATGTTCTCACTGGGTGACGCCCACTGTCTCTTTTTGGATCTCAACATTTTCCGCCAGATGGCCCAGACCTAGTGTTTTGGCAATAGTATAGCGTGCAATAGGATGACGTCACTATTTCAACCATCAACGAATGTGTGGAACCACGACATAGCTTAATATAAAGGAAAAAAGTTGAGAAGTGTTGGAATTACCCACGATGTTGGAATATACCGCGTTTGCCCTATTTAAAAATGTTTTACAGGTTATTGGAACAGCTCCTAGACAAGTAAACATGAAACAATATATTTTTTATTTTAACGCCCAACATTAGATGTGGTTACATAAAGTCGAAAATCAATTATTTGTAGAACAATACCATTGTTGTCCATTTATTCCAAATTAAATGACAATACATAGACTTGGAATGTATTCACAGACTCATTTAAAAGTCTCAAACCATAATATTCCTTTTACACAAACAGTTTATCACTATTTGGTTGAGCAAGGTCAACTATCAACTTTGATACGCGTTTCAATGTTCTCATTGGGTGACGTGCACTGTCTCTCTGAGGATCTTAACATTTTCCCGCCAGATGGCCCAGACCTAGTTTTTTGGCAATACACACAGCAATGATCGATACAACACAGCAAGGGCTAACAACCGAAAGACAAGGCTTATAACTGAACATTCGTTGTGACGACTCAAAATAACGAACGCTCTTTTCAGGTACTATGGTGCGCAATAGTATGACGTCACTATTTCAACCATCAACGAATGCATGGAACTAAGACAAAGCTTAATATAACGGAAAAAGTTGAGAAGTGTCGGAATTACCCACGCTGTTGGAATATGGTGCATTTACCCTATCCCTATTTTATATGGGAATGAGAATTTCCCTTTAATATCAAAAATATTTCATGAATGAATATGCTTGTGAAAATGAAACTTTTATAGTCAATGTAGACTTTGAAAGGATAAAATAGTTGATTTTGAGTATTTAGGTATAAGAGTGAGATTGTCATAAGATTTGTAAATTTTTATTTTTAAATAAAAGATTGAATGCTTTTAATATAAAAAAACACCCTCATCTTCAGTTATAAAAGAAGCACTTAAAAATTTTTTTTAGACAACACTTCTAAAGAGGCCAGTGTCTCTGATGGTATTGGTACACATGTACAATGTGTTTCTAATTTATTTTTAAAATCTAAAAAATAATTTTTGATTTAGTTTAATATTTTTAAAAATATTGAAATTTTTTAAATTATTCATTCAGTCAATTGATTCAAGCATTGTCTCTGACTTGACACAAGTGTGCAAAATTTCAGACTGATTGGACAATTAGACGTGTGTTAAATATTGATTATAAGGTTTGTAGCAGATAAACAAACAACAAGAAGTGCAGTTAAATAGAAGTGTTGTATTAATAATAATGAGTCCTCGCTCACTTTGCAACTGCCGAGTAAAATAACATTATGCACCAACAACTGCGGACTGTTATCAAGAACAATTAGCAAGATGTATGATTTTGTTGTGTGTACGTATATCATTTTGCTCCTCCAAATGATCTATGCAGTGTGAGTGACAGTGTTATATTGAGCAGTACACTGCTTTGTAGTGCGAGATATTATGTCATTTAAGTTTAGTTCATTGTCTTCAATTATTGTTAATGAACTAATGCATCTTATCAGTCTAATTAAATTTTTCAAACATCTATTTGAACTTTCAAATGATTACCGTCAAATGGGGTAATAAGGGACGGGTGGAGTAAATCAGGACAGTTTGATAGAACTGTTGTTGCAACTNAATGACCAGATAGATGGAATATCATTTTATTGCACGTTGTTGCTGAAAAAAAGATGCTTTGTGCTCAGAAGATATGTAATAATTTGATTTTATTGCTTCTGTTATTGATGTGCAGCACAATGATAAAGTCAAAAGCTAATTTGATGTTTCTCTGTACGTGTTCAATCTTTACGATGTATCTTTTTTTTTTGGGATGATGGTTGCCTTTTTATAAAATAGGTTTCATTTAAAGTTCACAACAAATAAAGCCTACTGGCCACTTTGGTATCTGTTGATGTTGGGCATTTTTCAATATTATGTCTTTTACTTTGTATAATGGATTTCATCTTTCAGAATGGACTTGTCAACATAGTGGCAAATGCAGGAGGCGATCGCGTCACTCCTGCAGTTGTTGCTGTACATGATGACGAGGTTGTGACAGGCTTGGCGGCTAAACAGGGCTTGGTTCGTCATGGCCAGCGCTCGGTGCTAGGGGTGTTGCGTGATATATCGGCATCAGAGCCATTGTTGGGCAACTTGCAAGGCTCCTGCCTGCCAGAGTGGGATGAAGATGGTGACGTGTCATACTGTGTTCAGACGGATTCTGGCCCCAGGACTGTTCAAGCTTCCAATGTTATCAAACACATATTCCTGCAGCTGAAAGGTAAGGAATCTATACTGGAGACCATTCTTAGGAAATGTTGTGAAAGTGAAAACCTTTTGGGAAAACTTCAGATCCATGATCATTTTATATCAACCATTAATGCTGTTCAAATTATGTACCTATGATCTGAATTTGAGGTATATGTTTAACTGGATTATTGCATAAATATTTTTAACAAAGGTATTATATATCTTACCTACCTAGTCTTGCAGTTTTTCAGGAAATAAGGCTTGAATGAGTGTTTATTTAGTCCCATAGTAATTGTGATTGGAATCTCATCATGGCAGATCTTGTTGAATATGAATCCTTACAATTGTCACATCAGTCTCATTTGTCAGTTATGTGTGTGTCTTTGTAAATGTTTGTCAGTTATGTGTGTGTCTTTGTAAATGTTTGTCAGTTATGTGTGTGGCTTTGTAAATGTAGATGTGCCACAGTCCTCATCTTCCATGAATTATTTGAGTATTACAATTTTCCATTTATAAATTCTTGCAAACATTTCAAAACAAAGAGTGTTAGGTTAAATGAATATAATTTCACTTAGGAGTTGTTTGTGTGTGCAGATGTATCATCCCGACACAACAGCGTTGCACAGTGCACCGCATGCCTATGTTTACCAGCCTGGGTGTCCAACAAAGCCGTGACAGTTGTTAAACATGCAGCTCGAGATGCTGGCTTCAAATTGGTTTCTGTTATCCTGCAACCAGTGGCTGCCTGCTTGGCTTATGATCTCCTGAGTGACCGCACAAAGTCGATGTAAGTATAGTTGAAATTAATTAATCCTAATCTTAAAAAAAAATTTTGTCAATAATAATTAATGATTTTTATATAATTTTAGCCTTAAATCTCAATGCCTAGTTAAAGTAAAATCATGTTGGATATCTGGTCACTGCAGCTGCAACAGGCTGTTGCTGTATTAATAAACAGAAGCAGGTTTTTGTCTTTAACTTTCTTCAATGGATGAGTGCTATTACAGCCTTTGTAATGATGAAAAAAAAATTATGAAGCCTTGAACCTTGTGTCTTTGTGTTGTTGTACCTCCAGTTGAAGTTACGGTGATGGTGTAGTATCTATTGCTAAGATTTCTTATGAGAATATATAAATGAACGAGTTGAAACGCCAAACGAATGAATGAAGACATCCTTTTAGCTTGATTTTGTCCCGTTGCCAGGCTGGTGGTTACCCTCCATCTGGGCGAGAGCGGAGGACAAGGCTCTCTGGTGGAGATCAGTGGCGGTGTGGCAACAGTCAAAGACAGCACGCGCTCCAGCTCTGCTCCAGGCTCTTCACTCACTAACAAACTCGTTGAGCATCTTGCCAAGGAGTTCTACACGTGAGCAAAGTCTCATAAGATTTACAGTATAATTTCATTGAGCCTATGATTAATGCTCGAAGCAATTGTACAATACCAATGTAACAGATCTCTTATTGTTTGCTTTTAAAGTATTTTCAGTAGTGCCGGTTACCACATTAATATGCAGTTGTAACGTGGGTGGTATCACATTTTTTAGCAGACAAATTTTTGATTATTGCCGAGCTCTTTGGTTGAACTACGAGCATGTATTCAAAGCACTAAACCTCACAATGAACAATCCTCTAATGCACTACCATTCAGGGTGCATTAATTTTCAGTTACCGGGGAAATACTCAGTTTTTGTTATATTTTAAGTTACACTGCTTCATTAAGAATGACACCTTAAATAACATAACGTTTTTGTCATTTTTTACACCAAATTGAACGAAATTGTTGAACCATATGTTGATTTAGCACTTAAAAAAGTGAATTCAGAATTTCCATTCGAAATTCCTATAGTGGACACATGAATAAGCAATGATTTAATTGTTATAACAGTAAATACCGCGGGGATTGCCTGGAGAACAAGCGATCGCGACAGAAGCTCTACAATCAGGCGGAGACCGTGAAGCACGTCTTGTCCACGCTGCCGTCCGCTCAGGTGATGATCTGCCCTATCACGTCACTAGAGCTTTGCATTATTTAAAATATTTTTAGAATAGGATCCATATTTTGTTGTGAATGGGTTTTTAGAGACGTATTTATAAGGATCTAAGCAGTTTTGTCAACATATCATTGTATGCTATGGAATGATTTTGAGATGCACTCTTATTTTGTTGGTCGTGTATTATTGCCTTGAAATGCACCAAACGTAATCATTATTTGTGTATAGTTGCTTTAATTTGACATAATTTCTTCGTGTTGACTTTTTTTGTGGATTAATGAAATCGCATTGAAAATCACAGTCCAAACAAATTTTTTTTTACCCTGAGCATATAATGTCATTAATGTTCAACACTGCTAGTAACACTTGAGGAATTTTCACTTCAGGTTAATGTAGACTCGCTGTGGGAAGGCATGGACTTCTCATGTCAGGTGTCTCGGGCGCGATTTGAAGGCCTCATCTCGTCTCTCCTGAGCGACTTCCTGCAGCCTACGCTCGACATGCTTGCCAAGCTTGGCATTGAGCCTGCTGCTGTGGACAAGGTTCATCCTTAATACCTTAAGAACCTTAGATTGTTCATGTTTCTTGTTTTATATTGTTCTATTGTTTGAAGTTCTAATTCCAACGATTCGTAGTTCGATGAGTTGGGCATTCTTAATCAAAATTAGGTAAATTTTAAGTGTGCCTGACTAGAATGAATGATGATAGAGTGCATCATCACTATGACTTCATCATCACCATCAGCCCCCATCCACCTCTAAGTAAGGCATTTTTCTGTGCGTGTGTGCTAAGCCCGCGGCTTTCATTTCTTGTTGAGCTTAGAATTAACTTGTGGACATATTTAATGTGCAGGTAATATTGAGTGGTGGCACTTGCAAGATCCCGCGCCTTCAGTCCCTTGTGAGCGAGAACTTCTGCAGGGCAGAGGTCCTGTGCAGTACCCCTCCTGACGAGGTGCTCGCTAAGGGTGCCGCTATTGAGGCCGCTAACGTCCTGACGAAGCACACCAAGCCCACCGTCCCCTCCACCGTCGCCGTCAACGGCTCCCCAAAAACAAACAACCAACCCAAGGAAAACAAAAAATCCAAAAAGAAAAGTCGCAGTGCGCCAGAAAAAAGTAAACCTGATGTGTTGCGCAGTCATCTTCCCGTGCTTGTGTCAGTGCTGTCGGTGCCCGTCTGGTGCTTGGTGAGTTTCCCCTTATAATCCGAATAATAATTTATTTTAAAATTTTCAGTACATTGTAAGCTCGTCTGACATAATGTATGCGGGTGTGAAGAAGAAAAATTTTTACTGAATCACATTAAATCGAAAATAAAGAATATCCCGTCGTTAGTGTAGGAAAATTTTCAAATGTTCTTCGCTCGAGTTTTCGTGATATGAAGCATACTTCACTGCCTTGGGCTGACAAGTGACGCTTTGTTCGCAGGTGGGAGATGAAAGCGTGTGCGTGTTGCCCCGCCTGACACCGCCGCTGCTGCGCCACTCGGTCGCCGTGCCCGTGCCATCCTGCGACGCCAGCGTCAGCCTCACCTTTTATGAGGCGCCCAAGCCCGCCTCGCCGCCTCCGCCAAACGCAGTTCTCGCCGAGGTAAGTCTCACTTGAAACTTCCACGTGCGTAGTTGCATGGGAGCGACATGGTGATGCTTAATATTTTATTAATATTTTAATATTATTATGAGCTTTCTGGTGAAATATCGCGAGTGATTGGGGATTGGGGCTTTCAATAAACCTTGGGCTTGTAACCTTAAAATCATTGATAGTTTTCGTTCATCAGAGAGCGAACTGCTGAGGGAGGCTGCTCTAGAGAATCATTAAGTTGTAATTTATTATCTAATATATAGGTATTTGACGATAAGATGAACTCCGATTTCGTATTCTATTTTAATACTGGATCTTGTTTCAACTTGAATGCTTTTTTGTCCCACAACTGCTGACCTTATCAAACTATCTCTGACTTCCGTGATAACCGTGTCATGCTACTTTGTTTTTCTGAACTGAATAATTACATGCTAATGTAGTCGTTTAGAGTTAATTATGAGAGTTAAGTAGTTATTTGACGAAAGTAATGAATTAGTACTATAGTTTTTGCTATAGCATAACACAGTACTTTTTAGTAACATTAATATAGTACTATCACCTAGCTAATTAATGGAATTGAAATAGAAATTTAATGTCCCTCGCTTCCCGTTGTAACTGATCTCCTTTGGTCTATGGGTATTTATGTAGAACACTTTTAGTCATTGCATCAGGTGCCTGCGAATCTATTTAGGTCTATTTCGTAGGGTCATATTTTATTTTATTCAAAGATGATCTGATAATTAAACTGATAAAAGCTAATAAGCATTAAGGTGAGGAAAAAGTATGCAGTTTTGACATCCTTCTCATATTGTACTTTATTTTTGCCGTAGCTCCTATTTTTAGCGCATTTTCTCATTTATGGAAAAAATGCACTATTGTGCTCGCCATGTCCGTCTGTCTGTCCGTCCGTCCGTCCGTGACCTCAAGCTTTCGTCGACGAGAAAATGCGCTCTCTGTCACTNCCTGTCACGGCTGAATGCAAGGAACTAACCGTCTCCTGTCTATTGAAACCGTAAGTTCTCGTCCCTTGACTCCCTTCTATGGTCTAAGTTGCTTACTTCCATTATCCACCTTAAGTCTAAGTAGATAAGCATATGGTGAATCCAAAGCGGTTGATAGCAGAGTGTCTCTCCGAAAATCCCACCATTCATGACTTGTATGAAACCGTAAGTTCCCGTCCTTTCTATGGTCTAAGTTACTTGCTTCCATTGACCACCTTAAGTCTAAGTAAGTAAACATAGGATGAATCCAAAGCGGTTGATAGCTGAGTGTCTCTCTGAAAATCCCACCATTTATGACGTTTAATATTTGTTTCATGTGAGCAGGGAAGGCAGCCTACAAGTCGGCATCCTGGAGCCCGTCAGTAAGAAGTCTCAGAAGTTCGTGATCACGAGGAGCGATGACTGCGAGAGCAGTTGAGGCTGACTTTTTTAACCTGTAACTTCTTACGTGAACATGTAATGAAGAAAACGATACTTGCAGTGCCACTTCTTGTCCTTGTGAGATAACTTCTTTCGTATTGAGGTATTGAGACTTTTTTTACGGGTGTTCGCTGTTGAAGGGCGACGTGTTAGCATGATTATTACATACAAATTTTACTTGAATCTTTGTTCAAATTCTCCGTTTCTAGTTGATTATGAACGGGATCATAGCGACAGTTGTTCTACAATCTTGACAGATTGCCTTATTTTATTTGACTTCATTAAATATATTACTTGGACACTTTTTGAAGTCGATCATTTATTCGTGTTATTACGTTAAATTCGGCTATGTCATCAATTTGAGCTCGATCATTTGAAATCGTTTAATAAGAAGTCGAAAATTTCTAATCTATGCTATATCAAAGATATTTAAATTTGTCAGACAAGTAAATTTCATGAGTTTTAATTTTATTCGACAATTGCTGTAGACCTTCTAATGTTGAGAACATAGGGCATTAAATTACCCCAAGAGCCAAGGGTTGGAAATGACACAATTAGGTACAATTAAAGTGCGGTGCGACTGATGCCATTTTTCTATTAGAGATGTTCAGGAATGTTAAGAATATCTCAGAACCTGTTTGAGCTCATAATATTTGAGGATGTAATAAGATTGAAAATCTGCCGGATTATACCCGCGACACAATTTTAGAACCGACAACCATAGACGATATTTGACATAATTCAGCCTACTACCAGAGATCTAGCATGATCCCATGATGCCGTCCGATCATATGCCTCTAAACTACATCTGCTCCCAACTCGCCACCCGGAAAATACTATACTTGACGGCTGACGCCGCAGTTGGTCCGTAAAGCTGAGGTAATTAAATTGTAGCGGACGCACGCTCTGTAAGCAAAGAATTCAATGCCGAACCTCTGCGCCTAAATGAATCAGGCTGCACGCCTGGGGGATGGAAGAGATCAAGTGACGGACATAACTGGAGTTCGTACCTCCGGCGCGAAGACCGCCTCGTAGAGTACCTGAGAGCAATAAACATGTTCGACTGTATATGATCTGGTCATCGCTGAATACATGTGATGCAATATGTTCTTAGCCCATAATGCCCAACGTGACATTCGGCGCGAGATAGCTTAGCAGCTGAAGCACTAGTAATCATAGGGTCACTAAACTAACTCCGGCGCGAAATAGATACCTGTTTGAAGCGCCAGTAAATCTGCTACTACTACTGCAGGAATGAATTAAACGAATATAGAATCCGAGGACGTAAAAAATGCATAACCTGGAGGAGTAAGCAGAATGAATTCCATTCTCGTTAGTTTACTATTGGCATAATGTACACCACACCCTGATCTCGTCAGCCATGTACTAAGGAGCACTCGCATTTCGCCTGTCATTAAATTCCCAATTGAGAGTCAATGTTTATTGACATTGACAAACAATGTTTACTTTGTTTTCGTGGACACTATTTGAAGATTAAAATCTAAATTTGCTCTTTGTCGATTTAGCCAAACTTCGTAGTCTTATAAGAGTGACGTGAAGACTGCGAACATATGTTAACTGACATCTATTTGACACGGGAGATTGATGACCAGTTTTCATTTATATATTTAACAATATTATCAATCAGCGCCGGTTTTTCTGCAAAATGAACTTTATCGGATCTACTTTGGTTTGTCGGCTCCATCTACTCAGTGGGGCAAGTCTGGGGAATGGCCTCGAGTTGTCTGGCGTTGACAGTGCCTGTCGAGACGAGCGTCTTCTTCAGAGCCTCAGCAAAATTTGGCAGCTCCAAGAGTTGGGCCACTGCTAGAGTGTACACGTATTCTGCAACGAGGGAAATGAAGCGTAGGAACCTCATTTAATACGTGGTAAATTTAAACGACTAAAAAGTGGGGTGAGAAATAAATCTAATGAATAATTTTTTTTGTATTAGATTATGAAATTCGATGACCCACGTATTCAAACCACAAGATGCAAACGATTAAAAACCTTAGATTCGTGAACTAATTTGCAGCCCAACTGTCAACAGAGAAACTTTGCATGAAGAACTAGGTAAATATAACAATCATTAGTGATGAAAGGTTCTCAGAAGCGATCTGGTAAAGAAGCGTAAACCTGGGTTCTTGAAACACTCGGGAATTTTGTACACTGAGCATCAATCGTCATTTTAACACATTTAGTTCTCGAATACGTCTTACACTAATCGTCCTTCCCACTCTTTTAGTTCTNGCCCCGTCAAGTCGCTCCCCATAACTGGTAAGGGATTTGATTCCGTCATGGCACTTCATGAAACTCACATAGGTTCAATGAATTGCACTACCATTAAATTCATGTCCACAGGTTCAGTGAACTGCATTACCATTCAATTTATGTCCACAGGTTCAGTGAACTGCATTACCATTCAATTCGTGTTTTTTGGAAAAACCATCCTCGATCAAACGAATTAATTATTATCAAAATTACAGAAACATATACTGCACTCATTGCGCACAATTACATTTGTTTTGAATAGTCGCGAGCGCAGGCTGCGTGCAATGATGCTCTCAAGACAGACGCCATCACTTGTTCTAAACCGTTCGTCTTTAAAATAAAATACCGGAAATTCAGCGTATAACGATCATTTGTGATCGCAAGTTACGTTTATGCCAAATACAACATTTTCTAAATTTAGAACGATTATCCTAGACCTTGTCCGAAAAATCCATCAGCATTGGCAATAATGTATGAAATTTGAAAGATTTGTGACTCATGACACCGCAGCATACGGCATTATTTTTTGGACTTACAAAAATATTGATCTGCATTCAAAGGTAATGTTAGAAAACTATAAATTTGTGTACACAAGTTGATTCTATTTTAACGAATTATCCGTTAAATGGACATTAAAGTTGGTTAATTCACGGAAACAATTTATTACTCTAATATTTTGTTTGAAATTTAGACATTCAGTTTTGATATCACTATTAGAAGAGGAAAATTCAAGGATCGACTTAAATTCGTTATCGTAGTTAATAAATAACTTCGAAATTTTTGGGATCGTATAGCTTAATATTTTGTATATTGAAGCTATTGTAATTTTCCATATAAATATAAATTTTGTTTAATTTTTAAAATCTGTAACTGCATATAATGGCGATTTACTTTGAGTGGAAATGAAAAATTTCAAAGATTTAATGATTAAGCGGAGCACATAGTTTAGCACAGGAATTTGCCCGTAATATCCAAAGGGAACAGTATGAGTTGACCCACAAAACTCATGTCCACTCATGTCCATACTCAACTCTGAAATTAATTTCCGAATTACAGATCCATGGTTCTGTCATCAGCCATTTAAATTAGCCCATTTTCAATTTTGTTTGCTATTCAACCATAAATAACCACGAATAATCCTGATAATAAAAATGTAATTGTGCTCGCAATGTCCGTCCGTCCGTCTGTCCGTCTGTCTGTCTGTCTGTCCGTGACTTCACGTTTTCGTCGACGAGAAAATGCTCTCTCTGTCACTAACTGCAGTGAGTACTGAGTTATATTTTTTTTCTTTGCGCCGTTTCCATCAACGTGCAGACATGACTCTCGCTTCGAATCACCGACATGTGGAACAGCCTCCCCAATGACATCGTTGGCGCTCCAAGTATGAACGCGTTCAAGAACAGACTAGATAAAGCTATGGAAAAATATATGTTCAAATTTGAAATGCCTAGCACCATATCGAACCCGGTGGAAGTCTAGTAGCTACTTCAAACTATCGCCAGTCATGAAAATATCCGGTCAAATGAAACGATATTAGATCTTCTGTGAACAAGGCACGAAAAGGAAAAGAATCGGCGACAAGCCACATCAGGCCTACACTTCAGCGCCGAGATCAATATGTTATGTTATGTTATGTTATGTTATGTTATGACGCGTGCTCGTTGCGTTCACTCACTGTCAATGTATTCGAAGGTTAGTGCGATGCGACCAGGGCTGGTGAAGGAGGTCGGGTAAGCCGTCCAAGCAACACGGTATTTGTTTATATCAGGGACGTTAGCAGCACGGTATTCCTTTATATCTAGAACGTTAGCAACGCGGCATTTGTCTATATCTGGGACGTTAGCAGCACGGTATTTGTTTACTTCTGGGACGTTATCAACACGTTATCTGTGTATATCTGGGACGTTAGCAACACATTATTTTTTATATCTGCGACGTTGGCAAAACGATATTTCCTTTATATCTGGGACGTCAGCAACACGGTATTTGTTTTAACAGGGACGTTAACATAAAGTGACACAGTAAGTGCATCTGAATGAACATGCAAAATGCAAGCAAGAACATTACCTTTCTGAACTGAAATAAAAGGATAAAAATCATTCCTCCTAATAATCCTGTTGCTACTTATGAACGAACGCGACATTAATGACTAATTGATGTGGTACTATCAGCTTATATTGTCTCGCCTCCAGTGGATTAATGATGCATGGATTGCACATACAGGCCATGCAGATCTCGTGTCTTGATCAATACTCACGGATCGACGTAGTAATACTTGAAGCTGTTGTCGGTACTGAAGACAATCTTGGAGCACGTGTGGTTCTGTTCTCTCTCGTTAGGCAAGTGAAGCACGATGTAGTAAGTCGTCCCACCGATCTGAGGAGAGTATTTCTTAAACTAAACGAACACGATTTTGAAAGAAGAGTGTAATATAGGCCTATACTTGTAACATTAACCGAACTTTATTGAATACTTCCATTCCCACCATTTTAGACAATCTTTGTAAATTTACTGATCGCGTCATTATGATAATTTTAAACTTCAAATTTGCTGGACATTCAACCTAAATATTAGTGATTTGGAAACTAGTGGAGTTATTTTCTGATGAGACGCATATGAAAGAGTTGAAAGTAAATGAACGCTTGGTTCACATTGACGCGCTGCTACAAAGGCTCTCTGCATTAATAGGTGTATTAACCGCTTAATGAAAAATTATCTTAATGATATAATAACCATCCAGCTCGTGCATGAGATAATTTTTGTAAAAAATATTTTGTTGTTAACAATATTCAGTTGTTTTTTTGCTAACAATATTCAGTCGCAAAGTTAGCGCTAAAGAATTTTCTTTAAGGGCTTCCGTGATAAAGTTTTGGAACCTTTTTCTCATAACGTTAGACCAGGAAGAAACTACATTTTTAATGCAGTTGGGATGAAAAAAAAGGTTGGAAATATGTTATTTTCCCGAATCTAGAGTGATAAATATTTAGTAAATTTAAAATTCAGTCTTTATATTGAAAATAAATTTTTTTACATATAATGAATTTTCATAAATAAAATAATTTCATATAAATCGATTTTCATATGTAAAATATATTTTTTAATTTAAATTACATTTTTAATTTACATAAAAGAGGTAGTATAAATTTTTAGGCGTGTAATTAAAACATTTCACTTCATTGAGCGAGGAAACACATTTATTGCCACGAAATTAAAGAATGTGATGCTTGAATATCAATCGCAAATACTATGTACATCAACGAAGAAAAAGTACATAGAGTATACTAATGTGCTAATCTCTCAACGGTTAAATAAATTTACTAATGCTCATACTTTCTTTTATTATAGCACTTCTCCAATTATGTTACCGCAAAAGTACCTTGTCATAAATTATTTTCTAAGAGATTAATTATTACCAATTAATTTTAATGAGTGTTATTTGGTTATTTCATTGTTAATCAGGTGATCTTGGTCCATTATAGTACCTCGAAAAGGAAGAAAGCACCTCGAGCGATATGGGTTTTGCAAGTTTATTGCTATATAAAAAAATGTTATTAGGCAGTTGGGAAATATAAAATATAGTTTTGTTTCGCACTTAATAGTTAGATGCAGACTTATAACCTCCAAAACAAATAAATATTGTAAATATACACTCAGCCCTCAGGCACCATAATAGTGGTGTAACGGTGTCACAATGCAGCTTCAGAATCACAACTGCAATATATCTCGCGGAAATGGCCTACTTACTTTTATCCGCTCATTTCATAGTCTTCTTCCATTATTTATCTCAGGCATTTTTTCAACGCCTCCTTCCTCTGCAATTTTGATTAATTCATTCCTCTAATCACTTCCTGCCCTATAGGATATCCCTCGGACCTAACTATAATTCTCGCCATCTCTGGCGAATGCAAAATTTGGAGTGACATATGCCCCGGAATTTGGAGAGACGGCCAGAAAACCACGACGTGAAGTTACCCTACTGAAAGGCGTAAAATTTTCTAAGACGTTCGACAGTATCGGCCCAGATCACTTCTCAATTGCGTCCTCTGAATCCCACCAGATATCCATTGGCCAGGCCTCCCTACTGCTTGGGAGGCAGCTGGATTATATTTGAACCAAATCCCAATGAGAAACATTTTCACTGAATATTCAAGCCCCTGAGCTCTTATAGCCAAGGAACCCTGAGCTCTTATACCCCAGTGCTGGGCTCTAAAACTGCTTGATACCCCGACCGCTTTATCATTGTCGTTTCCTCCGAGACACGTCCATGCAGAGGCGGGCCTGGCATTCAAACTCCTCTCGGGCGTCTCTAATAGATAAGCTGACGGTAGTTTCATGGAACAGAATACACCATCATCCCACACAATATTCATCCTATTCGCACATCTCTTATCTCGTTTCTCACGAATAGCAACGGCCTAAAACTCCTAAAATCCGAAAGGTTGGGTCACTTGCACCCTGAATGCCCTACCCGGCACTGAATTGAGCTTCTTCAAAGACCATCACGCTTCTAGTTCTTAAAAATGTAATGTCATGTTAGGGTGTGTTATAATGTGTTGTATAGTGATATGTTGTGATAAGTGCAGTGCTGTTGTGCAGTGATATTTTGTGTTGCAATGTTTTATGTTGTTAATACCATATTGTTAGTGTTACTATATTTTGTGTTATTCGCTTGTGTCGATCATTAAGCATCGGCCACTTTGATCGCAGAGAGCGCTCATAAGTGTTGATCATTGGGCATCAGCTAAACTGACCGTAAATTGCGTGCGCTTGTGTCGATCATTAGGCATCGGCCACTTTGATTGCAAAGAGCACACATCAGTGTTGATCATTGGGCATCGGCTAAACCGATCGTAAATCGCGTGCGCTTGTGTTGTTCATTAGGCAACGGCCACTTTGATCGCAGAGAGCGCGCTTCTGTGTTGATCATTAGGCATCGGCTAAACCGATCATAAATCGCGCGCGCTTGTGTCGATCATTAGGCATCTTCCACTTTGATCGCAAAGAGCATGCATCAGTATTGATCATTGGGCATCGGCTAAAACGATCGTAAATCGCGTGCGCTTGTGTCAATCATTAGGCATCGGCCACTTTGATTGCAAAGAGCGAGCATCAGTGTTGATCATTGGGCATCGGCTATATAGATCGTAAATCACGTGTGTTTGTGACAATCGCCAGGCATCAATCGTAAAGTACGTGTGCCTGTGTAGATCATGCAGCATTGGCGAGGGTTACACTTCCGTTTTTAGCAAGCATATTGGCAACTTTCTTCCCTGGCATACTGGTGTACATCCGAAAACGAACCTTCGGCGTACATGCTGCACCTTCCTGACCATGGCTTGGTAGGTAATTTATGTATCCCTATGGACCCTATATTACCACGGTTTTCTTAGCTTCGTTTCGTGTCTATCTGTCATCAAAAATTCAGACCTCAATTTAAAGCTCTTCTGGACATCCTAGAAACTCGAAATTTCACGTACATGCTTATGCTGCCTAACAATTTAAGATTTGATTATCAAAAATAATAATTTAAATTTTTTTAGAAAAAAAAACACTTAAAATTCATGGTTTGGAATTGAGTTTTTTTTCGAACATCCACACTTGCCAACTCTGGAAATTGATTTGAATTGCTAAAATTGCTAACTGAAAAGTAGAAAATAAGTACGGTACATATAAAAAATTTAAAAAAAAAACCACGTATTTATGGTTTTTACAAAACTAAAAATAATGTAATAAAACCAATAAAAAAAACTTTTAAAAACCATGTTTTCTTAATGGACAAAAAAGTAAAACATTTACTCTTATATAACATTACATAACATTTTACATAACTTAAATGTTATGTATTAGTAAATGTTTTTTTTTTTGTCCATTAAGAAAACATGGTTTTTAAAAGTTTTTTATAGGTTTTATTACATTATATATATGGGAATGAAAATTTCCCTTTAATATCAAAAATATTTCATGAATGGATATGCTTGTGAAAATGAAACTTTTATAGTCAATGTAGACTTTGAAATGATAAAATAGTTGATTTTGAGTATTTACGTATAAGAGTGAGATTGTCATAAGATTTGTAAATTTACCCCCCAGAGTCATAACCTTGGGACACCCCTTAAAAATGCATTAACAGTAGAACCTTGGTTAGCAAATCTTGAGTCCAGTTAACAAAAAAAAAATCAATTAACAGCAAAGAATTTAGATTACATTTACCATGCTCAGCAAAAAAAAAAGTCCCTTGACAAAAAATTAATGCATCATTGGTCATCACAAAATTGTGCATAGAATGTCATAGATTGTGTACTGGGCAACAAAGACTGAAAAGTAATTAGCAAAGACAAACCTGCAATCTTGCATTGGCCATCTTGTAGCTTTAAAATGGTAAATCGGACAGAAGCTATCATGAATGAGACAAAACGCCTTGCTGATGATCAATTTCACCTGTCCCTATTGCCCCTGGCTAATTATTTTAGTAAAAATTGAAGAAAATGACCTATTTTTGCCCATAGATTTTGAAAAAATCTCATGAAATTATCTTTTTACATGCAAATTTTTTTTTTAATTTCTGCCCTCTATGCCTTATTGATTGCAGTCTTCTTAGTAGACAACTGCCTGCCTGTGGACTCGAATGGGGAGGCTGAGTAGACTCTCCATGGGGTGATCCCTTCATTCTTCAGTTCTTAAGAGAATGCCAAGAACTGCAGAGTCGTGACTGCTCTCCAATTGCTGCCTAGGAAGGCCATGCTTTCATAGGAATGCAACCTGCTCTAAGTGTAGGTAGATATCCCCTCCACTCCTCAGTCCTCAAAGCTCTTCTATTTTGTGCCCATTCTTCCTCACAGACCTCTGATGCTCTGTCCACAGATAGTCCTGTCCAAGCTGGGTCCTTTTTGACTTAGCTGACACCATTTGACCATCTTCTTTTTAGCGCATTTTCTCATTTATAGAAAAAATGCACTATTGTGCTTGCCATGTCCATCTGTCCGTCCGTCTGTGACCTCAAGTTTTCGTTGACGAGAAAATGCGCTCTCTGTCACTCACTGCAGTGAGTACTGAGTTATATTTTTTTCTTGGTTCTTCTCCCTCACCTGCCTCCCAAGCCACCTTTCCAGAATGCCTGATAGTTGATTATAAATAATAGGTAATTGCTTCAGCCATTAAATTTAATCCTAATTCATTCTATTCCAGATCTATGAAACCATCTAGCATTACCAATTCCGTTTTACCATTAACATCAAGCTAAAAGTACAAACTTTTGTACCATATTTCATTAGATTTAAATTGTTTTGGACTTTTTCAAGAAAATTGTCTGATATTTCCTACATTGGTAATTCTAGAACTCAAAGATGGATGTTGTCTTTGGACTATACTTTGGAAATAGCACCTGCTGTGTTGCTGTCAATAAAGTGAGTAAAAAATCTTTAATTTTGACTCAATGGTTTTAATGACAGGAATTATTTACCTCATAAATTTTACATTTGAAGCAAGCTTGACATATTTCCTTGTGTTCACCTTCTAATATGATACACAATTCTTTTTATTGGTGTTGTTGGTGTTTTCTTGCTAATTTACTGAAATTTTAGTAACTAAAACAATTTCTATATGAAATGACCAGATAGATGGAATATCATTTTATTGCACGTTGTTGCTGAAAAAAAGATGCTTTGTGCTCAGAAGATATGTAATAATTTGATTTTATTGCTTCTGTTATTGATGTGCAGCACAATGATAAAGTCAAAAGCTAATTTGATGTTTCTCTGTACGTGTTCAATCTTTACGATGTATCTTTTTTTTTTGGGATGATGGTTGCCTTTTTATAAAATAGACTTCATTTAAAGTTCACAACAAATAAAGCCTACTGGCCACTTTGGTATCTGTTGATGTTGGGCATTTTTCAATATTATGTCTTTTACTTTGTATAATGGATTTCATCTTTCAGAATGGACTTGTCAACATAGTGGCAAATGCAGGAGGCGATCGCGTCACTCCTGCAGTTGTTGCTGTACATGATGACGAGGTTGTGACAGGCTTGGCGGCTAAACAGGGCTTGGTTCGTCATGGCCAGCGCTCGGTGCTAGGGGTGTTGCGTGATATATCAGCGTCAGAGCCATTGTTGAGCAACTTACAAGGCTCCTGCCTGCCAGAGTGGGATGAAGATGGTGACGTGTCATACTGTGTTCAGACGGATTCTGGCCCCAGGACTGTTCAAGCTTCCAATGTTATCAAACACATATTCCTGCAGCTGAAAGGTAAGGAATCTATACTGGAGACCATTCTTAGGAAATGTTGTGAAAGTGAAAACCTTTTGGGAAAACTTCAGATCCATGATCATTTTATATCAACCATTAATGCTGTTCAAATTATGTACCTATGATCTGAATTTGAGGTATATGTTTAACTGGATTATTGCATAAATATTTTTAACAAAGGTATTATATATCTTACCTACCTAGTCTTGCAGTTTTTCAGGAAATAAGGCTTGAATGAGTGTTTATTTAGTCC